TTTTATTTTTGCGATGATACAGCTGGTGGCTATGGCAGAGAAATACTGCTCCGTTATGTACCTCGGTGAGTCCTGAGAAGGCACTGGCTATCATAGGGAAAGCAAAGGCAACCGAGGGCTATTTGAGTTGAGAAACCACTGGGAGCCAAGGATTCATTCCCCAGTTTGCTGGTGCACATGTGTACAGTTTTCATAAACTTTTCATTTTAAAATAATTTTAGACATAGAAAACTAGTAAGACTCATATTAGGCATCCATTTTTACACTGCTATAAAGAACTGCCTGAGACTAGGTAATTTATAAAGGAAAGAAGTTTAATTGACTCACAGTTCAGCATGGCTGGGGAAGCCTCAGAAACCTTACAATCATGGCAGAAGGGAAAGGGGGAGCAAGGCACTTTCTTCACAAGGCAGCAGGAAGCAGAATGAACTCAGGAGGAACTACCAAACACGTATAAAACCATCGGATCTCATGAGAACACAACTACCCTCATGAGAACAGCATGAGGGAACCGCTCCCATGATCCAAGTTCCTCCAGCTGGTGTGTTTCCCTTGACCCCTTGACATGTGGGGATTATGGGGATTACAATTCAAGATGAGATTTTGGGTGGGGACACAGCCAAACCGTGTCACCTGTATAATCTTCATCAAGAGTCACTGAGTCCATACTGATATAAATAAGCAAACAAATAATAAATTTTAGAGGCGGGGGACTCAGCTTTAGAACAGAATGCCAGTCAATCACAAATGTGGAAGACATGATGATTAAGCGAATCACTATGTGGTAACCATCATAGCAAGCATGTGATTCAGGAAAGAATCATGGGTGGATGCCAGTAGTGAAAGTTTGATGAGAACCACGATGTTCACATGTCTTAAAGTATCTTGCTACAGAGCAGTAAGATTTTACAAAGAAAAAAGCAGTAACTTTGCAGTGAGAAACCCAGCAGAGACCACCCAAACCACATGACCAAAGTCAACATCGGCAGAACTGGAGGGATAAGCACTTTATGCTCCTGATTGATTGATTTATATCAGTATGAACTTACGGATTCTCACTTTGTTCAGTTGGTTCCGTAAGCCATCACTGCCATTCTTTGTTAATTTTTGGATGCTCAAACCATTTCTGATTCGGCCAGTGGCACTCCCTCCAAGCTGACCCCTGTACTTCATGGTGTGTGTCCCTGTTCTCTGAACAAGTCCTTACTTCCTGGCACAAGAGGTTTTGAAAAATAATGTGGGTACGTCATTTCTTTTGTTCTTACACAGTAAGGAGATAGAGAGGACTTCAGTCTAACTGGGTTTATTTTAGGCTATGTCCACGAGAAAGGATTTTCAATCCTAGAAAGTTGTGTGCATGGGACCTTAGAATATATCTAATCTAACCTATCGCTTTCATATTAGGAAACGAGGGCTCAAAAGCAGAAGCCACTTGTCCGAGGATTAATATCCCAAAAGGAAGCCATTTCATAAAACTCCTTCCAAATGGGCCAGAAGAACTGTGCTTCAGGAAAACTCCAGGGTACGTGAAGACAGTGTTAGGTCCAAGCATGTAACCCAATGGAGTCTGCAGTTTTTGACTCCTGTGTCTGACTTCGATAGCCCAATAAACCATTTTTATTACAACATGCATAACAGATTTGCCAGCCATCCCCACATTTACAGATGGCCATTAATTTTTTTCCTAACGTAATGCATTCCACTCACAAAAAAAATCCTTACTCCTCATAAATTGTGAGTGTAGAGAGGAGACATTACAGTTACACACTGAGAAATAAATGCTTCTCATCATTCCCTCATTTATTATGTCTTGCCAGATTTGAATACGACTTAAAGAATATCTTTGAAAAAGCTATTAGTTCCATTACAGGGCTTTAAAATCTGTGATGTGCTTTATTTATGCAATTCTAAAGGGGTGCTAGAAGAAAGTGACCCAGGCATTAGAATTTCAAGGGAGAGCAATATCCAATCTCTGATGCCACTGAGGTTTTGTCATTGCACAAGGAGTCCTCTGATTGTCAAAGAAAAAAGATATTAAGAATCTTTTTTGTATCCAGAATTTTCATATGCAAAATTACTGTGTTTTAGGGAATGCTTAAAAATCTTCAAATGAAAAGAGCTTTTGTGTAGTAGAAACAATGAATACATAGGAGAGTGCTTTCCAAATTGATTCTGATATGAATAGATATTACTCAGAAAAAAAAAATACATTTATCATCAAGTAATTTATGTGGCCTTGCATCTTTTCTTTTTCTTTTTTTTTTTTTTTTTCACTAGAGCCTGTTATAAAGCTAGTGTTCTTCTATAAAAACACTTATAGGAAATGTCACCTTAGGGATATGATATCTAAGTGAGAGAGGAGATCTGTGTGCATTATTTTGTAGGGAGGTTGGGGAGAAAAATAAAATAGGAAAAACGCTTCTACTATGACCTAGCAGGATTTAGTGACTGGTAAACATCACTGGAAGAAATTAGCAGGATATTAGAGTTTTTGTTCATCCATTTGACCAGTCTTTCTACAAATACATATTTGCGAAAGCTTACTAGATATAAGAAATGTATGAAAAACAAGAGAAACACTGTAACTGGTTAGGAGGAAAAGAAAAATTCAACAAACAGTAAAAGTCAAAGATGTCGTTGCTATTACGGGGAAGAAAGTAGAGAGTGGACCAAGTCCCTGGGAAGGAAAGAGGCCACAGGGAGTTTCTCGGAGCAGGAATCTTGGATGTGGAGATTCATTAACTAAAAAGCCTCGCTAATTCCCCTGCATATTTTAAGAAGAAAGAACGTTCTGAAGTCGATGTGCCCACGATTTCTTGCAAAGGGTAGAGGCCGGGCGCGGTGGCTTAAGCCTGTAATCCCAGCACTTTGGGAGGCCGAGACGGGCGGATCACGAGGTCAGGAGATCGAGACCATCCTGGCTAACACGGTGAAACCCCGTCTCTACTAAAAAATACAAAAAACTAGCCGGGCGAAGTGGCGGGCACCTGTAGTCCCAGCTACTTGGGAGGCTGAGGCAGGAGAATGGCGTAAACCTGGGAGGCAGAGCTTGCAGTGAGCTGAGATCCGGCCACTGCACTCCAGCCTGGGTGACAGAGCGAGACTCCGTCTCAAAAAAAAAAAAAAAAAAAAAAACAAACAAACAAAAAAAAAAGCAAAGGGTAGAACTGGAATTCAGCTGCTGGTCATCGGCAGCTAGTGCATCAGCATATTCTTTCTACTGTATCCCCACAGACAGCCAAGGTACTCTCTTCTTTCATTCTGTCAAAACCACCCATAAAGCATCTTTAACGTACAAGAAGAGGGAAAGCAGAAGGAAAAGGAGAAGGGATAGAGCAAACTGGACATGGCTACCTCCTTCAAAGATACTTTTGTTCTAATTAGAGAAGTTTATGCATGTGATTTCAGAGAAGCATAAGAATGACAGTGGAAGGCCAGGTGCAGCGGCTCACGCCTGTAATCCCAGCACTTTGGGAGGCCGAGGCGGGCAGATCACGAGGACAGGAGATCAAGACCATCCTGGCTAACACGGTGAAACCCCATCTCTACCAAAAATACAAAAAATTAGCCGAGCAAGGTGGCGCACACCTATAGTCCCAGCTACTTGGGAGGCTGAGGCAGGAGAATCGCTTGAACCCAGGAGGCGGAAGTTGCAAGGAGCTGAGATAGCGCCACTGCACTCAAACGTGGGCGACAGAGTGAGACTCTGTCTCAAAACAAACAAACAAACAAACAAAAAAATGGCAGTGGAAAGAAGGAAAGCATTGTGGTCCATCTAAATACTAGAGAAGGGATATTTGGCTGAGAAATCACCCAGGCTGATTTAAATATGGCAGATTCTAAATCAGACCTCAGGGCCTTGCCACTTAAAGGGTAGTGTATTAAGGAGTATTGACTCACATGATCACAAGGTGAGTTCCCACAATAGACCACCTGCAAGCTGAGGAGCAAGGAAGCCAGTCCGATTCCCAAAGCTAAAGAACGCGGAGCTGATGTTCCATGGCAGGAAGCATCCAACACTGGAGAAAGCTGGAGGCTGGGAGGCTAAATCAGTCTAGTCCTTCCACGTTCTTTTGCCTGTTTTTATTTTGGCCGTGCTGGCAGCTGATTAGATGGTGCCCACCCAGACTGAGGGCGGGTCTGCCTCTCCCAGTCCACTGACTCAAATGTGAATCTCCTTTGGCAACATCCTCACAGACACACCCAGGAACAATACTTTGCATTCTTCAATCCATTCAAGTTGACACTCAGTATTAACCATCACTGCCTGTCACAATGAGACACAGGTAGTTGGAGGTGGCTAGGCATCAGTGCGTGGAGGAGGGGAGGGAGACGTAGCATTGAGAGGGTTGATGGTGCTGGGCCAGGAGAGTCTACAGAAGAATGCACCACTGCTTGACGGGCACCAGGGCCACTGGGACGCTACTAACAGGCCCAGGTTGAAGGCTTAACTTCAACTCTTTCCTAATAATACCCAAAACCGTGGCTGGGGAAGGGCACCCCACTGGGTAAAGAACTGAAGTAACATTACAGCAGGCAACTGGAATGCCTAATTGTAACCAAAGTGTATTTTAAGACATTTTTCACAGTGAATGCTTTGTCAGGGGTTGCTCAAAAGGGATTATATGAAATAGATGAAGCAGAAAATTACCCAAACCCTGAGTCAGTAGGAGAACAGAACAGATTTTAACAGATTTGGCTACATGAGAAATGCTAAGTGATAACAGATATGTTCTAAATATACTAAAAACTAAATTATTTCTATTAGAAAGTACAGATTTTGTAATATTTAGTCAAATTTTTAAGTACCAGCAAGTGTCTTGTAACATGTATGTCAGAAAGTGGTATTAGATGTTGAGGATACAGAGATGACTGAGACAAATCCTTCAATTAAGTAGCTCACAGTTGAATAGGGGCATAAATAAGCTTGAAAAGACCAATTAAAATGGTGCACTAAAGGGGATAGGAAGCTGTAAGTGGGGAGAGGAGCACACACTCACCTGGAATTGGTCTGCTGCGCTTCCAAACCCTTGCACTCTGGGAACTGTTTTTCCAACACCTTATAAAAATATGAATCACATGTGATAAGCAAATCTACAGAGAGTTTACTATAAAGTTAGGAGTTCTTCCAAACTTTTTCAAAAATTTCACATATTCCAGGCACAACAGACACGAACTGTGTATGTGTTTCAATTTGAGATGCACTTTTGTTTCCCAATTCTCATGGAATCGTGGGTGGAAAACCAGAGATAATTTGGAAGTTAGGTTCAGACAAAACCAGGGTGGAATTCCACTGTAGAAGCTCTAATGAACCACATAGTTGTGGACAAATTAAGTTTCTTCCCCTGAGTCTCAATCCCTTCACCTGCAAAAGAAGGGGTAACACAGTTGGTTCTTGTAGGATTGAGGTGGGGATTAGAAAAAGGGTTTGTAAAGTGTCTAGAGCTGAGCCTAGCACATAAAATGTGCTCAGTTCATTGTAGCTATTGACACTATGAAAACGATTATTTTCTCCCAAGTAAACAATTTCTTAGGACATCTCTAATTGTCTCAAAACATGTTATGTAATTACCAAGGCAAAATATACTTTTATATTTTAAAATAAATAAATAATAAGATATTTATAATAAAATATAAGTATTAAAATGCTCTAAAATAAATAGTCTACATAGCACATGGTGGAACAAAAAGTAAGATCTAAACACAGACACACAAACGCCCCCACAGACTCACACATAGGGTCAGCCACTGTCAAGTATCTGGGTCTTCCCTGATTCTCACCCGGGTGATACAGGACAGCACTCCTGGACGGGCATCAAAGGATGCTGTACAGTCAGGAACTCACATGCGCACAAGAGAACACTAGAGTCCCGTGACAATCTGGCTGTGGGAGCTTACTTGAGGAAGACCGCCCTGTGTCATTGCTCACTAGCGCCTCAGCGGATGCTGATATTCTGAAAAGAGGGGCCTTAGCAGCTAGTGTCTGGCATACTCACAGTTAACTTCTAAAGTGACAACTGGGCAAACGGTATGACTCAGAGAAACTGGATATTTCCTCCCTTTTCTAAGAAGAGTCTCAGTAGTATCTGCAAGCAGCTTTGAAGAAAGAGCACATAGAAATACAAAGTCCTGCTGCTCTGCTTAACAAGAATAATAAAATGATAATGATAAAACCTAAGTATAAAACGTATTCATTCATACTCTTCTAGGAAAAAGAAAATATGTCACAAACTTGGAGATAAAATTTGAATTCCGTTGCAACACATGGAGAGGGTGAGAGCTACCATACACTGAGGATTCCTAAAACCAGGCGTGTAGACCAGTCAGCAATCTGACACAGATACCACAGCCCAATTGGGTGAATAAAGACAACTGGGACTCAGGGAAGAAGTTCCCACAAGTCACTCATATGGTTAGCAGCTGAGTCAAAGTTTTAACCTAGGACACCTCAACTGCAGGGTTCATGTTCTTCCCATTGCTTGGATGACTTAAGCTGTAGCATGATGTTCTCTTTACCTGTCTCTGAATTAGGTTGGGCTTATCTATTTTAAGCCTAGTCCCTGGCATATATTAGGTATTCAGTACATTTTTGTTAAAGGATTGAATGAATGCGTGCAGCATTATTTACTGAACTATACATTTGCATTTGTGATCATCTATTTTCAACTGTTACCCCCACATTCTAAGCAGGAAGACACGCTTTGATCTCTCTAGCTTTCTCCTTAGAGTTCTCTGGAAGGGGAATTCCCCTAAATATTAGCTACTGTTTGTGCTCTATGTTTTTCCCACTCCATTCCAAGTAGAGAGCTGGCCTTCGTGCTCCATTGCCTGAAATTAGGCTGGAGAAACAGGAAGAGAAGGGAGAGCTCTTGCAGACAGCAGGAGAGAGAGGCAAGTGTTCTCAGATTTTGGAAGGGGTGTAGATACAAGATCCTGTGAGTCACTGGGCCCTGTGGCTGGCTTTGCCTTCAGAAGCCAGAGAAATAGTAGAGTTTCTGTCCCAAGATAGAATGGATAGGGTACGCTGAAGGTAGCTGCATCTGGGCACCAGGGTTCTTCTCCTGAAAAATGTTTCTAAGCCCCAACCATAGCTTTGGACCCTCAGGTGGTTAGTGGTAACCATAGTGGACCACAAATCAGAGGCCCCTCCAACATTGTATGGTTTCCATGTAAGCTTCCTCTGTTTTTGTGCAATCCAAAGAAAGAAGAAGAACCCCCATAATCCCTGAGATTCCATCCAGAAGCACTGGGTCTCAGAGCTACAACGAACTTGAGGAAAGTAAACACAGTAAAATAACTGCTCGGAATTTCAAAGATTCAATTTCACCACACTTAAATGTATTAAGGGGAATCAACTTGGTATCTCAGAAAGGAAGATGAAAGAGGAGGGCCTTTGAGGACTAAACATGTAATGGGAAGAGGAACAATGTGCAGTGTTGGCTCAGAAGCATTGCTTTTCTCTGAGTTCCACAGTGGTGAAAAGAACTCATGGTCAGCTCCTTCATCCTTCCTGAACAGGGGGCTAGGCCTCCAAGGAAAGGACAGTTCAGCATGGTCAGGCAGGTCAGACCCAGGCCTAGGGGCTCAAGGTCTCAGCGAAGACTCAGGTGCCTTAAGTGGTACAAATACGTTGATGCTTCCAAGCTGAAAGGGTCATGGGCTCTTGGACCAAGAGCTTCTCAGTGGTGCCTGGAGATGAAGTCCGTAGAGGACTTCCAGAATCATGGGCATCATGTGGTCCCTGAGACCTCTGCACTATCGGGGATGGAGTCCAGTCAAGTTCAGTTTCATGTGCCCATCATCTTCCTATCATGGAGACTTGGAGTCTGATTTAATTAGATTATATCTATCTATCTATCTATCTATATATCTATCTATATTTTATATATATATATATATTCTTGCACAACCTATGTGATGAATCAAGATTAATTCCTGCTGTAATTCAATAAGACCTTAGATTTGCAGTGGAGGCCCATAACTGCAATAACTAAATTTTTATGCCCATAGAAAATATTTATGGGCTTACTTTACAGTTTACAAAGGAAGTACCACCCATTATAGGACGAGGTGGTCTGAGGTTTCACAGGGGAGGGTTATAATCTATAACTGATGCTCTAAAACAGTCTTGGACCAGAGTGCAAGATTAAAATCAAAAAACAAATTTCAAGATATGTTTGTATTTTTAAGCTCTACAATAAACTGTCCCAGATGTGTCACAGTGTTTCTAAAATTTGAATAATGGAAAGATCCCTTTTAAAGGAAAGAAATTCTCTAGACCCTGCAGAATACATTCATGGACCCCTGGAGTTCACAGTCACATGAAACCAGTCTAATTATAGGAACATATCTTCTCACTAAGAATTATGTCAAGAAGGACCTCTTATCTTTCTAACTGCCAAAGTTTTGTTAAGACTATTAAAATGTCTGTGTGTGTGTATATGTGTGTGTGTGTGTGTGTGTGTGTGTGTGTGTGTGTGTGTATTCCAAGGAAAGGCATCATCTCTTGAGTTTACATCTACAGATTCCAGGGGGTCTGTGCTCATTAATTTGAGAGTCCTCTTCTCAGGTGTGAGTGGTCATTCACAGCACTCACAGGATTTAGACAGAAGGACCTTTCCAGAGCCAGAGCCTCTGAGTTACAGTGACCAGGGTACCTGGTGGGTACCCGGGGTGCTGCAGGTATTATGACCTGGGCAGCTTCCTGCCTAGCTAGTCCTCCTTTGTCACCCATTTCTGTTAATCCTGTCAAGATATTTGCTAACAAGGAAGAGGAGAAGGAGAGAGGACATGTTGAAAGTAGACTCTGTCATTACCAGCAAATCGGCCATACATCAAATCATGGGAAGGGATAAGTCACTTAAACTGTAGAACTACAAAGAGAACGCAGAGTCACAAGGGCTGGATACAAATCTTCATGGATAAATGATTTTATTTCTGGAGTTTCAGTCTCTTCCTTTGTAAGGTGAGCAGGTCGTGAGGTGTCTGTGAAGGCTCATTTCCAGTGTCTTTCTGCAACAAATATTTGTTCCTTGTTCCATGGTTTAAAAAGTACTTTTACATTTATTCTTATTTAACCTTCATAACAACTGAAGATTACAGTCTCTGTTTTATTGATGAGGAAAGCAAGGTTCAGAGAATTTAGACTCAAGAGATAATAAGGGATGGATTGGTGCCATATTGTAGGTCTTAGGATCTCGAATCCCACCCTTTTCTCTTACAGAGCAGGGTTTTGAGGTCTTAGGCTTCACAGGAGCTGTGCCTTTGGAAATCAAGACTGGGAAGAAAGGGTGACAGAAAAGATGTGAGGGAATATTTCCCTGTGGCTCCTTAGATGTATTGATTCCTCTTTGTAAATCTACCTGGTTTCCCGATCTCTGTTGTTATTTCTGATCTGGGCCTCTCAACGGTTTAAACCAAAGGGATTATTCAAAACACAGTGGAAAATTCAGGAGCTTTTTCATGCCTCTGTTCTATTCATTCAGCACTTTCACTTGTCCTACTCATTCTAATCTCTACTATTGTACCCTAGATCTCCCAGGTTGCCAGCCTTGACCTAGCCAGGCTGCAGAAATGTGAGCCTGTGCTGGAGAATGGGGATCCCGTTTCAGTGACAGCCAGCTCATTTTTCAACCGTGAGATTTCATTAGGATAGGGACCAAGCTGACTGCAAGTGATGCTGTTTGCCTGCAGTCATCTCTCAATACCCCACAGAAGGTGATTATATAAACCTATTGAGGGGTAAGCCTCAGATCACATGAGTGTAGATTAGAAGAACAAGGTACAGCATAATCTGATTCCATCTAAACTGGCTTGCAAAACCCCATGAAGTCATCCTTACTGAGGATTCTTATTTTCAACAATGTTTTCTTATAGTGCATGAAAACCAGCCAGACATGTGATGCTAAACCAAACATTGTTTTCTATGGATTTAGCTCCCACCAGCCTTGGATTAAAAAAAAAGAAGAAAAAAGATTTGATGAGCCCAGTATGGATGTATTTTACCCCAAATAAAGCCACAATGAGGTGACAGAATCTGGTTTTCATTTAAGCTAAAAT